ATCGAATTTCATGAAATGAGTAATAGCAAAAAACCATATGCATGCTCTATTACTAACACCGTTAAGCGAAGGATAATTCCGCTAACTGTGTGCTGCAACGAGGGATAATTCCATTATGAGCGGTAGGTGATAATAAGATCACCGAGGTAGAGTAATAGAGTAGTAGGTGATAACACGATCACAAGAGATAAAATGCACGGACTTACTAATACCTAGGGTACCCGGATAAAATGGATGGGAAACATAGGAACACAGAACATCATTGCATATCACATGCATCGCCTCATTTACCGAGCTTTGGCTCATCTCATTGCTATTTTCATGTTATGCCGGGAAAGAGTCCAAGTAGCAAGGATGCTATCGGATCCTCCAAAAAGGCTTATACGTGACACAAACATACCATATTTTATTTTGATTGTAATTTGGGTTGGGGTATTAGTAGATATTTAAACGACACTATAAATAAATTTTATACTTTCTTTCGCTATGAATATTCTTGTAATGTCATTTGTATTGTACATCTTTTAATACATAATATGTTGTTATGGTACTAGCATGTACGTAGTAGGGTTTAAGTCGAATTGGTCATGTTAGTATGACGCGCTCCTCGCCTAGCCCCTCCTTTTGGGTAATTGGCAAGTAGGTCGGGGAGGGGGCACCACACACTATCTCATAGTCTCACAAGTCATGACTCTCACTCTCGGCCTTTCATAGACATAGTCTCACTCTCACACTCTCAAAGTCTCACTCTTCTTCTCCTTTTCTTCACTCTCCACTCTAATGACGATAAATCTAGTCCTCTTCTAGGGTTTCGGACTTCTAGTCCTCCATGCTCCGGGCTCCAATCCTCTTCCAGGTCTTCCTTTGTCAAGCTTCATGTCTTTCAAGGTCGATCTCTTTTATTTATTTTTTTATATTACCGATAAGTGATAACAACAATTTATTGGGCATAGATTAAGTTGTTTTTTAGATTCCTTAGTGAACTGTGATAAGCTGATATGCTTTGTTCTACACTCTGTGATGTTGTCTTGGAAGCGTTGTCTTAAAATGTGTCCTTTTGGCATATGTTTTCCTTTTTGGTTACTTGGAGTCCGTGATTCTGCACTTTATTTGTGTTGTTCGGTTAACAAGTTGGGTTTTGGTTTCAGTTGAGTCGAAGATTTATTCATGTCCTATTTTTTGTTTTCTTCTTTCGGTTCTTTGTTTGTTGTTGGCATTTTTCTATTTTTTGTCCGAACCGATCCTTGCATTAGAGCATATGTATGATCAATATTCAATATAATTGAACTGATTTTCTTTTTGTATGATTTACACATATGTATGATCATTATCATACCAATGTATGATCAATCTTCAATATAATAAAAGCGAGATGTTTGTAATAGTGAAATTAAAATATGAAAGCAATAGACCAATAGTACGTGTCCTAGTAGTGAGATACTAAGATCCATGCATCAATAAGCCGGTGATGAAACCATATAGATGGAAGGAAATGGGAAGCTTGGAAACAATCAATAAGGAGGCAAATGGATGTATGGAAATATGGAATTAGTTAAAAGGAAAGAGCACATAAGGATGTGAATGTTAGCCCTTAGGGAGGGAGTTGAGTTAGTTAGTTAACGTGGCAAGAGTTGGTTATGGCTATTAGATTGAGAAAGAAATTTAGTTAGAAACAAACATTGTATAAAATATAAATCATGAGTAATTCATTGTAAAAGAGATATTCTGGATCAATATTGAATTTACTCTTCTTTCGATTTCTTCTTTTGATTTCTCTATTTATTACTTTATTTTCTGTTCTTCTTGGTTCTTGATTTACACATCTAATTCTAAAATTGATAATTGTTAAAATATTTAGCTGCTCGTTAATCTCTATTTAGTCTTGAAAGAATCATTAAAACCCGTAATTCATTTAGAATTTGGTATCACACAAGTAAAAGCTGAGCTAAATTCTTGTCCATAAAGAACTGTCCATTATTGTTAAGTAATCTTTCTTCATTTGTCTTTTCATTTTCTCCCTTTTAATCACATACATATAACTATATAAATAGGTTGATCCGTGAATTTTTAATTTTTTGCTCAAGCTTTTCTTGTTCGGGTCTCTAGCATATGGTTTAGTTGCTATGGTTGGATGTTGTATTCCTTTTAATTTATTTTTTGTTTTAACCTAGTGTAGATTATTTTCTACCCACCCAATTCTACCCAACTTTGCTAATTGCTACTCGTCTAACTGTCATCACTCTTTAGTCTAAACTTTAAACTAATCTAGCCATCTAGGTTTGTATAGGAAAAATTCCTATTTCGTCTTATATTTGATTGACAATACAACACCCTCCAATCATCTTTTAAAATTGGCTTTTGTGCCATCATTGTTTTGTATAATTCAGTATGGACACACCTTTCATCAATAATAGGTAATAGCATCTCGCTTATATTTGATCCGTGGATCTGTGGTTATTTAACTTATTTTAGGATCATCCGGATCCAAACATGAAGTTCCATTCCATATTATGCTACCAACTTTGCAATTTGTGTATAGTTGTTATGATTTCTTGATTATTTAAGAGTGTGAAGCTTAATACTCTTTTTCCTTTGTTATTTATGTAAATATCGCAATCCGAAGAGATGAATTATGAACATGTGAGTTCAAGCAATCCCAAATACACAATCAAGTGTAGGTCCAACTCCAAGTAACACTCAGAAGATGGCAAATGAAAGAGAAGGAAATCAATGAAGCTAAGATCGATGGTGTAGGACCATTTCACAAAGTTTGAAGATGACAATAAAGACATGAAGGCTAAATGCAACTATTGTGCTAAAGTATTTGCTTGTAATCCTTTAAAAAATGAGACAACCTCAATTAGGTCTAATGTTTTGACTTGCAAAAAAAAAAAAAAAAAACCTTTTTAGTTGTATTGAGTCTACATAAACTCAATTAGACCTAAGAAGGCTTGAAGTGGGAGAAAATAGTTTTAGCACATGAAAGTTTGATCAAAATATTAGCGAGAAAAGATTTAGTTGAAATGATCATTCTAGATGAACTTCCATTTAAGCATATAGAGGGTAGGGGATTCAAAATTTTTTTGTCTAATTTGTAACCTAGATTCAAACTTCCATCTCGTTTTATGATTTCAAGAGATTGCTATCAACTTTATTTAGATGAGAAAATAAAGTTGAAGCAATTTTGAAATAAAATAGTCAAAGAATTAGCCTCACTGCAAACACATAGACATCTATTCAAAGAATCAATTACATATGTTTAACGGCTCATTTTATTGATAATGATTGGAAGTTACATAAAAAGATCTTGAATTTTTATTCGATTGATAGTCATAAAGGAGTGGATTTAGGTATTGTGATTGAGAAGTGCTTGAGAAGGCTTTTAGTGTTACGGTTAATAATGCAATTTCGAATGATATGGCAAATAGGCACTTAAAAGATGTGATTAAGAATTGGGGTTATAGCATCTTATATGGAGAATTCATTCATAGCGAGTTGTATAGCACATACTTTGAATCTAGTTATTGCTGATGAGTTAAAACATTTTAATCCTTCGATCGATCATATTCAATCGATCTGTTACATTTGTGAGAGGCAATCTCTAACTAGGTTAAGAAGATTTAAGGAATGCATTCAACTTGAGAAAATTGATTCTAAGACTTTGTTATAACTAGATGTCACAACTAGGTGGAATTCAACATATTTGATGTTAGAGTCGACTCTAAATTTTGAGAGAGCGTTTAAGAGATATGAGGAAATTGATCCTTTATATAGGAGTGAATTTGATGTAAATCTTAATGATAATATTGTTGGGTCACCTAATGTTGATGATTGGAAGACTTGTAAAAAGATGGTGAGCATGTTGAAATTTTTTTACAACCTTACTTTGCGTATTTCGGGTTCTTTGTATGTGACTTCAAATATTTTTTTTAAAAGATAGTTATGCACTCAAACATGTTTTGAAAAAATGACAACGAAGTGAGGATTTGTATGATTTTGCATTAGGTAATAAAATGAAAGAAAAGTTTAAGAAGTATTAGAGGGATATTAAGAAAATGAACAAGTTGATTTATATTGTGACAATACTTGATCCTAGGCATAAACTTGTATTTATTAAATTTTCAATCAAGGAATTGTATGGTGATTTAGAGGGTCAAAATATGTTAAATTTTTTGAAGCGATCTATTAGTGCCATCTATGATTTCGTTCTCGTTCATCATCTCAAGATGAAATTGGCCAAGCTAATGGGAGTCGGGGAATAGATGTGGATTCTACAAATGAAGAAATGATTGATAAAGAAGAAAATAGAGTAAAAATGGAGATAATGATACGTTTTGAAAAATACAATTATGATATTAGAAGTGGAGGAAATTAAACAGAGTTGGACAAATAGCTTGATGAAAATGCTGAAAATAATAGTGCTGATTTTAATATTTTAGAGTGGTAGAAAACCAATTCTCCTTAGTTTCTCATCATTTCACAAATGGCTAGGGATGTATTAGCAATTCCTGTTTCTACAATCTCCCGAGAATTGACATTTAGCATCGGAGAAAGAGTTCTTGATTGCTTTAGTATTTCTCTAACTCCTAGCTTAGTGAAATCTTTTATATGTGCTCAAGATTGGATTAAAATTCATCGACGCTAATTATCATTGAAGAAAATTTACAAGATGTTGAGAAAATACAAGATGGTAATTTCTATAACTCTTATCATTTAATTTGTTATTTCTTTCCTATATATTAATGATAAAGGGTTAATTTTTTTATCTTCTATTTTTTAGAGTTACCAATTACCACTACCTCTACTACAAATATTTAATGGTTGATTACTCGATGGTGTTTTGGCTTTTTGAATAATATGTGTAAGTTATTAAGTTTTTAAGTTTGATTTTTCTTTATTTATGTTGCTTGTGCATGACTAGATGTATGACTTTCATTGGTTAATGCTACCGGCCTACTACATACTCGACCTGTAATTAAATTTTCATTACACATATCGAGTGCGTCCAAGTGTCCATTGAATGTCCGATAGTGTCCAAGGCTCCGACCTCCGAGCAAGCAAGTGGGACCGACCGACCGTTGGAGGAGGCTCAAGGCTGTCCAAGGCTCCAAGCAAGACTCTTTATTGTGGGTAAGTTTCTTTATGGTTTTTAGATATGTACTAATTTCTAATCTGGATTTTGGTGTATTGTATTATTGATGAATTTGTTTCTTACTTTTTTTTTTACCTTCTTTGAGGTGTTGGTGGTCAAAGTCAAGTAAGATTGTTGATTATTGAATATTCAATTTTGAATGTTGAATTTTGTTTTCCATATTTCCATATTTGTTATATGACTTTTATCTATCCATATTTGGCTATTTCGTGCATCCGGTACGTTTGGTTCGCCTAGTGCCTTCGGATTCTTATGCTTCGCCTACTTGCCTTGTGGTTGCTTGCGTCTACTACCTCTAGTGCATCCGGTGCATCCGGTGCATCTACTTCGCCTATTGCCTAATGCGTTCGGTTGTTACGTCTAGTCCGGTGAGTCTAGTGCATTCTTTTTATTCTTGAGTTTATTGATTTTAGATGAGCTATTTAGTTTCCTTGCAATTTTAGACTTCAATTGATGTAGTTGCCATTATAGTTCTTTTGATTATCATGGGGCCCTAGATATCTTAGCAAGCTCAAACATTTAATAATAATAATAATAATAAAAGTGAACCTAGATAATTTTTTGACTTGATTCGAATATCATTATGCTTCAATTCCACCTTATTGTCTAAATGCGAGTCATTTATCAAATAAAACTTCCAAAACCAGCCATCTTGGGTGAAGGAAGCCAAAAAATAGAACCATGCTATTATCTTCACATATGGAGAAAGCTTACAAATAATAGATATGATCCAGGTATGATAACGATGAAATCTAAACAAACATTATTATTCACTTTGGCCATTTTCCATTGGTTGATGTTTCCACTTCTAACGAATAACTACATGGAAGAAGCCTTAAAAATGAGGAACTTGTTGCAAGAATTTCTTAAGAAGCTCGATGGTGTGAGGCAAGCATTTTAAGGTTTCTTGTGGTTTCGATGAAATTCAAACTTGAATGAGCAAGCATTCTTTTTCGGACGGAATTTGTTGTTTGTTGCCTTGTTGAATGATTAGGATTGGTTCTATTATGTTGAATCATGTAGCAAATTTCAAAGAAGATTTCACACGGATATGTCATCTACCTTGTTGCTCTAAGCTTATGTGCCAAGAGATTTTTGTAACAATTATGCCTTTTGTGGTGCTTATGGATGTTGCATCATTAATGACTTGCCGCTTTGCCAATGCTTGCAAAAATTCAAGCCTAAATCCCGGAGAAATGGAACTTAATGGATTGGTCTAAAGGGTGCGTGTGTAATAAACCATTAAACTACCGGAAGACGATGGTTTTGTTAAATATGTAGGGCTAAAATGGCTCGATGTTACTCATTCTAAGCTAAACAAGAGTCCGAATCTCAATGAATACGAGCTAAATGCTTAAAAACTTATTCATGTATGGCATATAGTAATTTAGATGTTACGAAGGAGGCGAGTGGTTGTATTATTTTGTATGGTGATCTAGTAGATATGAGACGGTTTCCAAGCTGGAGGGCAAGAACTATACATATGCATGAATCCTTTAAAACCGAGTATGGCCAACTATGATCTTATTAGTCCATAAGCATCTAGATGTAGCTCCATTCTCTTGCTTATTTATTTGCTTGTCCTTTATCTTTATTCCGACAGATCTTGCTCTTTCTTTAGAGGTAATAGTCAAGCCTACCAAAAAGATTGAAGTGGTGGTTGTAATCGTCCTCGGATGACATGGATTATATTAGAAGAGATCCAAATCGGGACTGCGATGAATCTGTTGGATTGTGGAGCTCAAGAGTATCCAAGGAGGAGTTGCTCCCCGATTCTACTAATGAATGAAATGTTGCTTTGTAGTATTTCTAAGCTAGGCTTTAACTTGTCAAGAAAACCATGTTGCCACTCAATTTTTGTTGGTTCTTGAACAAATAATGGACAAACTAAAGAGCAAAAAAGTAAGTTGATTTTCTTCAATTACGCATTTCATTTGTCTACTACTCGTTGCTTGAATACAAAGCGGATCAAAAGTCATCACCTAATCCCACTTACTTACGCCACTCGATTTCTTGCCATAAATTAGGGACTAGGACTTGATTTTGTCTACCGATATATAACAAACACATCATATTTACAAAGCGATAAGCACGCATCGGTTCAATGTTTTTTTCACGGGAACAAAAGTTTGGTTAAAACCAAATTATTTCGATATCGAATCAAAATAATTCAATTACAAAATGAATTAACCGAATTTAATTTGGTTTGGTTTTGGTTTTCATTTTTCCTAATTTGGTTAGCCAAAAATCAAATCGAATTAAGCTTAATCGAACCATTTGCTCACCCCTACTCTATGCCTCTAGCTTCGACCTCCGATCGCCTACCGCTCCGTCCATGTGTGCACCATATGCAACGACCACACCCTCGCGCACGCCATGTTTAGTAGCCATTGCTCCATGTCTACCAACCATTGTAGTTATCCAACCCTAATCTAGTCATCAACGACCACTTCGCCTCACATCGAGCCCAGATTTATAAAGAATAATTGTCTCTCCTCCTCGATTAATTGAATATCGGTCTCCATCGAGGTTAAAAAGGTTAGAATTGACCCCGATTCGACAATCAAATTCATTCTTTTTGTTAAAGTAATTTATTTTTTACCTTTTATTTTATTTTAATTTATTTTAATGTGTATTAAATTTAATTCATGCTGATGTATCTATAATTAATTAAATTGTCATCGTTATGTAAATTAATTAAATGGTTACTCATGTATGATTTGATTAAACTATTGATGCGTAAATGGTATAATTAAATGGTCCTTGTATTTTTATTGGTTTGATTAATATTTATGACTCACGATGTGGTTGTATAGTTTGTTATTACCTATGCGATTTTTTTTAGTTGCGTTGGTCCGAATCTCACTCTTGGACCGCTTTTGCCAATCATCACAATTAAGCGAGTTATGCTAACTTGTTCTAAAAAAATTTGATTCTTGCTTCTAGTTGGTTCAAACCGTGTTTTTTGGATATTTTTATCGATGGTATCGTTAAATTGTTCACGTGCTAATTTTATCTAAAAACTATAATTTTGGGTCAAGCTAGTTCGAACCTCGTTATTTAGACCAACTTTTGTCAAATAGTGATTAATATTATTGTTATTGGAAATTCACTTAAAAATATGATTCTTGAATTGCGTTGGTCTGAATTTTGTTTTAAGATTGTTTTTGTCCATTGCAATGGTTAATTGATACTATGCTAATTTGTCTTAAAAAAATGTGATGTTTGAACGGCATTAGTTCGAGCCTCATTTCAGACCATTGTGGCACATTGTGATGATTAATTTGATATTATGCTAATTTTTTTCTAAAAATCATGATATTCAAAGTCGTGTTGATCTAAACCCCACTCTCGGATCATTTTTGCCATTTTTGCTGACATTGTCGATTTTTTCGTTTTTGCCATTTTTTTATTTATCAATTTTGGTCTTTTTATCATTTCTTTTTTGCCAATTTTGTCACTTTTATTATTTTTACCAATTTTATCATCATTTTTTCCAACTTCAATGATATTTGATAATTTTACCATTTTGTTGTATTTGTCATGTGCGCCATTTTACGTCGTTTTTGCTACTTTACCTATTTTCCTACTTGTTCATTTTTCCATATGCCTATTTTTTCTTATTTTGTTTATTTGCTAATTTGCCTAATTGCCAATTTTATCTATTTACCTACTTGCCCATTTGCCCATCCGCCTATTTTTGCCTATTTTACATATTTGCTAATTTGCCTATCTGCCTATTCACCTATTTACCTAATTTGCCTATTTTGTTTATTTGTGTATTTTATTATTTGTATATTTGCTTGTTTTTTAATTTTGCCTATTTTTCTATATTGCTTATTTGCATATTTTTGCCTACTTTGCCTATCTTGGGTTTTTTGCCTATTTGCCAACTTTTAATTTTTTTTCACGCATGTCATTTCGATCTCATTAGCTACATATCATTACATTTATCATGCCTTTTTCATTTTCTCAACCATTCATTATAAAGTGAGGATAAGGGCCACGACCAATCAAATCTCAAATCACTTGATCGATGGGAAAATATTTGAAAATATGTATAGACTTTCATCATTAAAAAATTAGAAATTAAATCATTATTGTATGCAATGTAGCTTATCTTAGGCGAGGACATGATAAGGTGATTTTTAATCTTCTTTACACATAATAAACTCCTTATCCAGAATTTTAAACAAACCAACCATAGGGTTTTCTAGTAACCATAATGCTTGGGTAACGACTCCCATTATTTTTCCCTATTTTTCCTATTTTCACTTTAACATGTTGCCCTCACCTTGAAGTCACCATACGATAGAATAGTGACTCCACTGAGGATACACTAAGGGTTAGGCTTTGTATATAATCTTTGAATTTAATTTATGATGATATGATGAATTTTTATGCTTGTTTGTTGATTTGTGTAATTTGCCTACCTTTTTAAAATTCGAGGCCATTTTTCCATTGTTTGTCTTGCACTTTTTATTTTTGTTTTTTATTGTATTCCATTTTGTGTCTTTATTTTTATTTTTAGGAATAGATATGGAATAATGCCTATGCACACACTACACTCACTATTACTTTTTATGTATATCACACACTTGCCTCGGGACTTAGGGAGGTAGTAGTGATGCCCCAATAGGTTTTTCTCTGCGTAAACACTCATCAAATCTTAACTCTTCTTACTAATCGCTATCACATGATGGGTAAGCGATGATTTTTCATACTTACCAATCATCATCTTTAGTGGCTCTAATAATTCTATTATGATTCATTGGGTTTGAAAAGACCCATTTTGAGACCTAGATAGATCCTATCTCATTCACGTAATGACATAGAACTAGACCACTAGGATTTTACCTAATAAATGTCATGGGCAAGTCAAATTTAAATGAAACCTTGATTGAAACAATTTGATCATGATGTTTCGGGATAGGTGATAAAAGGACTAATATGCATTTCAAGATGGCCTTTGAATACCGGAGGGTGTCTAAGGTTTGTCGGTTGAAAGAAGGTGATTGTTTGTTAGAGGGATTTTAGAGTAACCTTTAAGATGTGATATGTATTCAAGCAATCATCAATGATTCTACAAAGCTCTTGGAGTGTTGGAACCAGGTCGACACAAATATATCGATAAAAGTTCGGGATTAAATATGGGAATTTGATTCGTTTTACTTGAGATTCATGTTCAAAAGTTGGCAATCAAAGTGCTAATCTAGTTATGGAACCCTTCCTATCAATGTTTTACTTTCAAAAATATTGATATGACCTTCACTCTTGAAGAGTATCACCAATTGCTCTAAATGCCAAATTTTTTATATTGAGTATACCTTTACCATCATCACAACTAGGTTGTCAATAAGATTCAAACTTGGTTGAATGAAAGTATGAGTTGCAAATGGGTAAAGGGTGCAATCGAGGACTATCATTAGGAAATATGGGATAAAGCATTTGAGCGAAGTTTTAAAGATCCAATACATAGTTCTCAACATCTTTAGGCTACTACTATTCCCTTCAATCAATGGGTAATCATCTTAGATGCGGCTAACATATTCATTGAGGTCGAAAAGAACAATGTGAATTCTACTTATGGCGGTATTGACGAAACCATCCTATCTTTGAATCACTACCGTAAAAAAAGAAAATACATTATGATAGGTTACGTAAAATTCTTTTTTGTTTGGATTATCGGTCACATTGAAGCCCATAATTCCATTTTCAAGTCGGAATAGTGGATTGATCAAGAACCATTGAGAGAATTTGCTTTCCTAACTCGAAAAAACCATTTAGAGCACAAATGGATGACTACATTCCTTGAAATACCAACCACCACAATTCCATGGATGGCAATATAGATGACCCAAGCCTTTTATTTGGCTTATTGTGGGAGATAACCATAGGTGCCTTTGGTTGGGGTAACAAGTTATACGAGATATGCAATTGTCGTGGCATCCTACCAATAGAGTTATGAGCAAGGTGTACCACGAACAAAGGGTCTCGTTGAGTTTGAAGAGAGTTAGAAGAGTGAAGCCTCACCTAAATTTTTGAAAATTATCAAGAAATAGTGGTTAATGAAAGGAATGGTACACCAAAAAATAGTTTGTTGAGAGATAGCCACCGCCATAAGGCATCCTATATGGCAATCAACTAGAGTGAAAAATTATAAGCCTCTAACTTACCCGAATCAGCCCGAGTATACTTCTATCGATAGTTTCATCAAATCAAGGCGTCTCTCAAATCTCTATCAAGGAAATTTCAAGCCAAACCTTTGAAAAAATGAGAAGAAAATGATATTACAAGAGTTAAGTTTGTTGAAGATGAAATGAAAGAGGAGGTCGAGTGCCTCAAAGTTGAGAGATTAAAGCTAATGAGCAACTTGGCTGAGAAGAAGAAGAAAAGGAAAGAGGTTAAGAATGAAATGAGGGGTATGAAGATAGAGCTTCAAAAATGGCATGATATAGCAGCTAAAGAAAATAACTAGAAGACCTTGGTCACTAATTCTAAATAGAGTTATCCTCAAAGTCTATAAACATTAATGATTTACAATGTCAATATGATCAAGTTAACCATGAGCTAGGTGTCGGGAAAAACTAAAATAAAAGAGCCTCTAAAGAAAAATGTCAACCTAACAAGCTCTCTTAAAGTGGAATGCAACAATAAAGAAGAATTGGTTGAACAACTCAAGGAGGCTCAAAAGAAGATTATTTCATGAGAAAGGGATAAATAATAGTTGGAGGTAGACCGAGCATAGACAATCTGTTTATTGGTTCAACATGCATAATCACTTACTAT